TAACTAGAATAAGTTAATCACAACAGCCAATTCTTAAATTATTCTAGTTGACTGAAGCTAATTAGTAAAGACAGCAAAAGTTAAAAATCTACTAAAATTACTGTGGCTATCACTAAAATAGATCCCTATGCTGGCATACTTTTCTAGACCTTAGGGATAAAAGGGCAAGAATGAATGACATAAATTACTGTTCTTTAGAGGCAGGATAAAAACAGATGCTGTCATGTGAAGGTAATTAGCTTATTTTTTATCCTATGGTGAATCTAAGTCCTTAGAAATAATAAATATTGGCAATACCAGGAATGACTCAGGATTTCCTTCTTTTTCTTGCTGGTAGAGTTTATCCAAATTCTCTTCTTCACGCATAATAAGACCTTTTAACGAGTCCAATTGGTCTCCAAAATCCTTGAATTGCGATAGGACAAACTAGAACCAGAGAAATTTTCATCAGGAACAATTTCCGTATGCATATATAAGAAGCATAGCCTTAGGAGCTGACAAAAGTTCAAGTTGTTTTCAACCCTAGCAGCTCATAATTATCTTGAATATTCAGAAGACTTCTGATGTTTATTCTGTGCCTTTGGCAAAGCATCAAGCCTTTGGGGATGAATGGCTCACCAGCTTGAGGGGGCCGTGCAGAGGAGGGTTCATGAGTACTATGTTCTCACAGTCCTGCTAGTTAAATATTTTTTTCCTGATGGTACTGAGATGTGATATTGGAGTTCCATGGCCTTCTATGCAGCTTTTTCACAGTGAATGCATGAAAGGCTTTTCAAAAAGTGACTAAAGAATATAACAAATGGCCATGCTTTAAGTAACTAATTTTATTATTCCAAATGGAGATCCAAATAACTATGAGATCTGAATAGTGTATGAAATATATCACTTCTTAAATTAACATATTCAATAAAGAAGAAATGGATGCTTAAGATATGCCCATTACCCATGTAATTGAAGAATCACATGATTAAAGAATGATGTCAATGGCTGATATGTTCAGGGCAGCTTTATTCTGTAGTTGCCCTAAGGAGCAACTAATAACTTATATTATTTATATGTATATATTTCTTATATAGTTGATCTATTTCTTATGTCCTACTGGGAAATGTCCAAGACTACAATATGAATGAAAAAATAAAATGAACCTCAAATTCATTTGCTTTCACAAGCAGCATCTTTTCCAAGTAAGAAGCTCTCTGGAGCGAATGCTGTTGACCAGAGAGAAGCACATGGGTGTCGGACTCTGTGGGTTGTGGGAGTCGATCTAGCAAAGTGGAATTTTGGAGAAAGGCTTCTATTGTCTTCTGCACATCATGCTGAAGCTCCTGGTGGAGAAAAAGCGATCAAAATACACTTCCTCTGCCTTTTACAACATGAGTCCCCACCGCCTTGGGCTCCGTCAACATTGAGGAGAATTTCTGCCCTAAAACGGTGGGTTTGGCTTTTTGTTTCTGTTTATTATTTTAAAGAGCTGAAAAGGCTAAGCTTTAGTTGTATGACGTCCATCACTGGTGCTGTTCTGAAATCTGTCAGTTCGGAACTAAAACTGACTACTGACCAGTAGAGTTGGGGCTTCTAGTTTATAGAAACTAGAGACCACTTGGGTAGAGTCCTGTGTTTTGTACTTCTAATCCTCAAACAATATAGGAATCTGCTTTAATGTCAATACAAGAATCAATGTAATCCTGTCCTTTGAGACTTTGTGATGTCAATGGATTCATCTGCAGAGACTGCAGGATCCCATTAATCAAGCTATATTTAAGGCTACTCTGAAAATACTGTGTGCGACAGAAATACAGATCATATCTCATTAAACTGGTTAATACTTTTCAATTTGCCCTATAGTATCAGAAGATATAAAATGCAGCTGTTCACCCGGTTTAAAACTTTAGTCACTTTCTGAGCATTCATTAACATTTTAGGATAAAACCAGAGGAACTTATACAGCTCTTAAATACAGTCTAAAAATCACTATATCCACAGAAAAGCCATATTAACATGGAGGCAAGTCCATGATTATTTCTAAAGTGAGAGATTAAATATCTATTATTCTTAGATGATCACACTCAGTTGAGATACTTTTGCTTTTGAGACTCTGAATGAAATTTTTGCTTTAGAGATTTACCTGCTGGAGTGGAAGGAGAGACGTGGAACTAGGTGGCATCAGGTGTCCCTGACCCAGCTACCTGTAGCCTAGACCTAGCCTCTGAGCAGCCACCTGTCCCTCCCAATCCCAGACATCCCAGTCTTGCCCGTGTCTTACACAGCCTGCTCACATACCTGTCCTGATTCAATTCTCTGCCCCTGTGGTCTGTCTAGTCCCTGGGTCATGGCCCTGTCTTGGCCCTTGGTTTTCCGTCTGGGCTTTGCACCCACCTTTATGTCCCGCAAGGCCGAGGTCAGGATCTCTTCCAGGTTGTCTCCAGACATGTTGATATTCGCGAGCTGTCGGTACTTCGCTTCCTGCTGCTCTAGCCTTGCTACAGCTTCCGTGTGAGCACTGGTGTGGGCCTTCCAGAGCTGCAGCAGACTCTGGGCCTTCCGCGACTGGTCTGCAATGTCCTGGTTTACCTGGGTCCATCTGTTAGGGCAACATAAACAACAGGTTCCTCATCCCATTCTTTCCCTTGCAGCGAAGGCTCAATGCACACACCCTACCAGAAACTTATTAGCAGTTGGACTATTAAATGCCTTTTTTAATTAATGATACCACCATTATATAAACAAAAGTCCAAATTGGGATATTTAACTGACTTTATAATTCTTAAAGAAAATTAAAAATATGTGATTGGTAAGAAATATTTATTGTATTATGAATGTCTCTTAGGCAAAGTTGGAGAAAGCACTGAACTGTACGCCTTATGAAACTTCTCCATGTTGGAGGGCCTCCTATTTTATAGAGGGGTCTTTAAAAAGGCCTATTCAAATAGTGTTTATATCAAATTTATTTTCCAAATATAAAAGTCACACGTTCCTTATATAAAAGTAGAAATAAATGAAACCATTTTCGTTCCATACACATACTGCAGGACCTTGCCTTTCTTTCCCATCACTTAATCAGCTTTGGGCCATTCAACAAAAGGCCTTTCATATCTCACTCAACAAAATGAAAGTCTTGTAATTAACTAGGGCCACACTCCTTAGAAGGAGCTTTCTATCATAAGCACTTCGTCGAAAATTCCTCTCAAGCCTACAAATCACTTCCCCAAGAGGTATTCTAACATCCCCTTTCTTCCATCTGATAATGTTTCCAGTGGATCAGACTGGCTATCTGGCCCACCCTCTAGTCTGTTTCTGACTGTGAGTCTGGTGTCCCTGAGGACAGCACTGGGCATTTAGTCTCTGCCCTCTGAAAACTGCTACGCTGGGACCGTAATTATGGCATTTCTAGATTGGTTATACTAAACACTTGTCCAGGGCAGGTAATAGGCTTCACAACATCAAATCGTACATGAACTAGATCCTTCAAAACAGAAATGAGAACAGTATGAAACTAGTCATCTCAGATGATTAAGAGGATAAGGCTTTCCAAGGCTCATGACACTTCACCAACCACAAGTTATTAAGATATCTGATCTATTATTCAAATTGTATCTTAATGCATACCTTATGTGAGTATCTTGGCATTTCTCTTCGATTATTTCAGCAACTGAGGGGCAGTAACCTTTGAGTCTTCCAATAACTTCCTGGAGTTTCTGCCAACTCCCTTCACTGCTCTCAGCTTCGTCTTGAAGAGACTAAGAGAACAGAGCAGGAACATTAGTTTCAGAATGGCCTGGCTACTTCCAAAGAAGGTGGCAGCTTTTCAAGACTTGCTGTACATCACAAAAATAACAACATTCAAACATTGATAGGAGTAGGATAAATGATTAGAAATGTAAAGAAGAAATCAATTGAGAATGCATTCTTTCACTTTGTAAAAAAGTGTACTTAAAAAAAGCTGCACCAAAATCCAAAACGTTTTCATTGTGAAATAATGCAGACATTAAAAATGAAGAAAAATTCAATGTCAACTTTCACAGAGTTTCATTCACTTGGCTCATGTGATTCATTCTGGAATTTCCAGTTATACTTTTGCAGCTGCTTTTAAAGTATTGTTTTGTGCACTGTCGAAAGCACAAAAGCAACTGTGTCCACTACTTTGCTTCCATTGGAGATTTTGTCAATAAGGCACTGTGTCAAGATTGGGTTCATTTACCTGAAGGTTCTGCACCTGGCATCTCAAGGCCTCCAGTGATAAAACTACAGGCTTGCTGTGTTCCACGCAGTAACAGAATCGAATTGTCATCATATTTACATCGTCATAGAGTTTATCATAAATCTTCCACTCCTGTAAAACGAACTGCATGGAGGTTTTGAACTCATTGACCTACATGAAAAGGTAGAGACATATTTAGAAAATCACTGAGAAGAGGCTCTCTCATTTTTTTTTCTTTCCAAGGACTCTGACATTGTATCCAGTTTAGGCATTTCAATTTGAGGGTATTGGAGGAGCTTCGGTGATTAACTGAAGGTGGAAAGAGTAGGTCAATGAAGAAAAACTATCAGAGAAAGCTAAGTTTTAGAACAGGTGAATGGAAATGAACCCTGAGACCAGAAGGATCAGCATGGAGAGGGTTCAGGCGAGCAGGGACAGCCCAGGGAAAGAACATTGGGTGAGGAATCAGAGTCTGCTAATGTATGCTTCACAGTATTAGCTTTCTGACATTGGGCACGTTATTTAACCTTGAGTCTGTTTTCTCATGTACAAGACAGATAAATAAAATAAATAGTCTGTGAAAATGCTCTGAAAACTGTAAATCACTATAAATGTAAAATGTTACCTGTACCTGGCACTTCTGTCTGATTACTAGAGAACAAGCATAAGCTGGAGAGAAACATGCTTGGCCAAAATGACAGGCAAATGCTAGGCAGGAGGAAATGCAATGGTAGGCATATTTTGATCGTTTATAGGTATTGATGATCATTAAAGAAAGGAGGTTGAAACTTTTAATGATCTCAGGTACAATCGAGAATATATAAATATATTTTTATACATATTATATAAAGAATACTTATAACTCAATAAAAAGATAAATAACCAAACTAAGAAATGGACAAAAGATTTGAATTTCTTTAAACAACAAATAGCCAATAATCACATGAAAAATTGCTCAACATCCAGTCATTAGAGAAACGTAAATCTAAACCATAATGAGATATTACTTCACATCAACTAGGATGGCTATATTCAAAGTTGGATAATAACAAGTATTGCCAAGAGTGTACAAAAGTTGGAACCCTCAAAATTGCTGGTAGGAATGTAAAATGGTGCAGCTACTGAAGAAAGAAAACAGGCATCTCTTCAAAAAGTTAAATATAGAGTGATTATACGACCAGACAATTCTACTCTTAGGTGTATACCCACAAGAACTGAAATCAGTCTACAGCCATGCAACCCTGAACAAGCCCGATCCCGTCTGATGTCGGAAGCTAAGCAGGGTTGGGCCACCCAGGGATGGGAGACCACCTAGGAAGACCAGGTGCTGTAGGCGTAAAAAATAAAAAATGAGAGATTGTAAGCTGACAAGGTCCTTGCAATGTGTGAGGTCAACCAAGGGTTGTCTCGCCAAAAAAAAAGAAAGAACTGAAATCATATGTTCACACAAAAACATGTACACAAATGTTCACAGCAGCATACGTCATAATAGGCTAAAAGTGAAAACAACCCAAATGTCCATCAATGGACGAACTAAATGTGGTAAATCCACACAATGGAATATTATGCACCCATGAAAAGAAATGAATGCAGATCTAATAAATGCTATATTAGTATTCTTGAAAACATGCTAAGCGAAGGTACATGGATGCAAAAGACTACATATTGTATGATTCCATTAATACAAAATGCCCCAAACAGGCAAATCCAAAGAGAGAGACAGTAGATTAGTGGTTTCCCGGGACTAGGGTAGAGAGGAATAGGGAGTTGACTGCTAATTGGTGTGGGGGTTTCTTTCTGAGGTGACAAAAATGTTCTAGAATAACAGTGATGGTTACAAATTTCTGAATATACTAAAAACCACTAAACTGCATATTCGAAAGGGTAAGTTTTATGGTGGGAATTATAAATCTATTTAAAATTAGTATCAGAGTAGAAACAAAGTGTGATCATTAAGTTGGCCCAACCAGATATCTTTATTTGCAGTATGATCTAGAATTTCAGATGTAGCCACACGGACCTGCATTCAGGCCTTCTGTTCTCTGCTTATCAACCACAGGGGCTACTGCACATCCACAGCGATAGGGAGGCTTCCTCAAACCCTGTCACAAACAGGGATCGATGAAAAACAACATGGGATGCTAAAAATGTTAGTCTCACCTTGGCAATTAAGTGGACCAAGTGTCTTTTATAAGGGCTGGAGGGCTCAGAAAAACCACCAGAATCATTAAGAAAGAGTAATAGAAAGGAAAAAAGGTAGGCAGGAAGGGAACTCCTTATACATGTACCTCTCCAAAGCTGGGACCTATCTGGGTGGCAGGGATGATTCGGACACAAAAGTGCCTATGGGCACATGACACACAAGACACTGCCAGGGTTCAGGCCGCATACGGCCTTCTTGGCTTCTACACATAAAGTCTGTATAATTTCCGGTGCTCTTAAGGGTAAACCCCTTAGAATATTATAGCTTCATGGAGAAGAAATGGCACATGTGGTTTGAGGGAAAGGATAGAAAACCATTAAGCAAAATTTAGTATACCAGAAACGAGCAGGAACATTTTCAAAATGTTAAAAGTAGAATCAGCCAGTAGGGCAGCATTCACTGAGTGCTGCATAGGCCACGCTACAAAGGTAGAAATGACAGTAGGTATTATCACCATTTTACAGACCAGGAAATTGAAGCTTAGAGAGGCTAGGTACCTGCCCTAGGACACAGGCAGAAAATGGTGCTGCTAGGACTGTTATTTAGGCAGAAAATGCAAAGCTCTTGCTCTTAAACACTAGGCTATATTGACTTTGGAGAGTTTATAGTTGGATAATCTAGGTCACATGTCCTCTATATTTAAAAAAAAGTTTTACTGAGATATAATTCACACATCATATTATTTACCTCTTTAGAGTGTACAATCCTCATAATTTTAGAAGACTTTCATCACCCCCCAAAAGAAACCCCATATCCATTAGCGGTCACTCCTTATTATTCCCCTAACTCTCCCCCATCTACTAATTTACTTTCTACCTCTACAGATTTGCCAATTCTGGATATTTCGATAAATACAATCATACAATATGTGGTCTTTTGTGACTGGCTTCTTTCACTTAGCATGTTTTCAAGGTCATCAATGTTGTAGCTTATGTCAGTAATTCATTTTCACGGCTGAATAACATTCCACCACATTATACATATACATATATATGTATACACACACACACACATCTATATCTATATCTATATATATATCTCCATTTATCAACTGATAGACATTTTAGTGGTCATGAATCATGCTGCTATGAACATATGTGTACACGTTTTTGGTGCAGACGTGTTTTCATTTTTCTTGGGTAGATACCTAGAAGTGGAATTGCTAAGTTGCATAACTCTATGCATAACCATTTGAGGAACTGCCAGACTGTCTTCCAAAGCAGCTACACAATTTTACATTCACCATCAGTATATGAGGGTTTTGATTTCTCTGCATCCTTTGATAATACTTGTTATAGTCTTGCTTTTTATTATAGCTATCTCAATAAGTATAAAATGGTATTTCATTGTGGTTTCAAATTACATTTCCTTGATGTTCAGTGATATGGAGCATCTTTTCATGTACTTATTGGCCATTTGTATATCTTCTTTAGAGAAATGTTCAGATCATTTGTTCATTTTTTCATTTGGCTATTTGTCCTTTTATTATTGAGTTATAATTCCTTACATATTCCAGATGTCTTTTATCAGACATAATTTGCAAATATTTTCTCATTCTGTGGTTCATGTTCTTAACTTTTTGATAGTGTTCTCTGAAACACAAAAGTGTTTAATTTTGATGCAGTCCAATTTACCTATTTTTTCTTTGGTTGCTAGTGCTTTTGGTGTCCTATCTAGGAAACCGTTACCTAATCCAAAGTCATGAAGATTTACACCTATGTTTTCTTCTATGAGTTTTGTATTTTAGCTCTTACATTTACAACTTTGATCCATTTTGAGTTAATTTTTGTTCATGGTATGAATGTAGGGGTCTAACTTCATTCTTTTATATGTGGATATCGAGTTGTCCTCATATCATTTTTTGAAGACTTTTCCCCACTAAATTGTCTTGCATCTTTGTCAAAAATCAATTGACCAAAATGTAAAGGTTTATTTCTGGACTCTTAATTCTATTCCATGTTTCTATATGTCTATCTTTATGCTAGTGCTATCTACATGCTTTTTACATGCATTCTCTCATTTAATCCTTTTCCCCACTCTATACTTTTAAGATACTGTAATTGTGCTGTAATTATATGTTCAAGTATGCTTCTTTCAGTGGCCTGTGAGCTGTAAGGGTAAGACTCATTTCCTTTCTTGCTTATCTTTGTACCCTCGGCAGTGAGCATAGTGCCTCACATAAGATATCTTTAACAAATGGCTCACACGAGATATGTTAAGCTCAATCCCCATTTTCCTGCCTGAGTTGTGGGAGAGGACTGAGGCTGAGGGTCACCTATGGATTCCATTCATATGAGCTTATTCCCAATTCCCTCTTGGAACAAATGGTTGAAAGTATACTTTAGTAGATGACAAATAATCCATAATAAGGACTCTCTGGGAAACATGGACATACCTATAATTAGTATTTAACACTTTTCTCCCTCCATTTGTGGACAAATGTCAAGTTTGCAATTTCTCCCTATGCTGGCCACGCTCCTGGCTTAATAAAGGCCTCAAGAGACAGGATCAATCTCTCTTAGGCACGTCCATGTCTAGGGGAAATCCGAACTGCTTCTTCATAGCTTCTCCTGTGTATCTGGCCAGGAAACAACGCCAGATGCTCTGTTGGGGGATGGAGACATTTTTGTCTGTGTGAGTACATCAGACAAAACAAAGATAACCATGGGGATTTCTAGGCTACCCATGATGTTGGAATCAGCAGCTTTGCTTCTAGTTATCCAGTGCAAAAAAAGGTATCTGAAATGCTTTACTCTACTACACTTCTGTACTCTTCTCAGCAGCTTTTCAGCTTCTGGTATGGAGCAAGTCTCCACGATTAAACATCAACCAATAAGATAAAAGGCGGATATGTGACGAGAAATAGTGTACTTCAAATGAATTCTAGTACCTGGTTGACAACACTGCTCCTCTTTTGAAATAACCCATCGATTCTGGATGCTGTCTCTTCTAACAATGGCATTGTCCCACTCTCCAAAGTCAGGTAACTTTGTCTCAACTCATCTAGTGCTTTGGATTTAACTGCAAGTTGATTTTCTATATCCTGGAAGAGAAAAAGAAAAGTTTTCATACGCGTAATATCACAACACAATAAGGTGTAAGAGATAGGAGTTTGCTCTTTTCAAGTAAAAATGACATTAGAGTATATAATTAAATAACATTACACCAAAGACATTAACCATCACACTCTTAATTCAATTTTTATAATGAATTCTGACAATACAAATTTACATTATTACAATGTAAATTCTTACAATAATTTCAATTATTTCAAAGATCTAGATTTTAGAAGAGTCTAGGTAGCAAATACTTATTATCATAGTATAGTAGAAAGAGTCCCCATTCCATGTCTGCCCTGTACTGGCTGTCTAATGAGGTATTAAGTCACCAAACTCTCAAGTTCGCATTTTCTCATTTGACAGGAAACACCCCAATAATGAAACACCTCATGTCGTGCATAACTTAGAACTCAAGTGAAAGAGGGTGACCTTTTGGGGGATGGTGTAAGACTAAGCAGTGGAATGTAGGCTTCTAGTCAGGAGGCATATTGGATCTGAGGTGGCTGGAAGAATTCTAAAGTGGAAGCGGCTAGTGGGTAGTTAGAAACAGTATATGACCGTTTGAAAACCTCTCACACGGCAGTGTTGCTGCTCACGTGTCATGTACAGTATTATTCTGTAACCTTCTAAGTAAAATTGGGATGTGACATAACTTTCCACCCCAACAGCGAGTAGTGCCACACCTGCATGTAGTGGGTACAGAAGCAGCATAAGCTGGGATCTGCAGCCACAGGAACGGCTGAAGTGTTTTCAGTAGAGAGTGACACAAACGGGGCAGTGTGTAAAGACTGACCTACATTTGGGTGCGGGCACCTCGAAGACTAAATGACTTGGTAAATGACAACTACTCAAGAAGGTACGGTCAACTCCCTCAAGCCCAGATGTGATCCAGACAGCTGTTCCAAAGGATAAGTGGCCCTTTCAGAACACATTACACAGTAGGTAGGGAAAAAAAATCACTTTCCTTTGGAGAAACAGAATGAAGGACTCAATTACTGAAACTCCAGAGTAATTTTGTGACTGTTTGATAAATCTTTTTAAAAAAACAAAAATTGTAAACACCTAAGTCAAAATTTCCTTTGAGCATTTCTTTCTGAGGAATAACATTCAAACCTCGAAAACAATAACCATGAAAATATTTTATTCTGTTTATCATAAAAAATGACATTTTGCAATTTAGTAAAACCCATAGATAATTATCTATTTGACGTAAGAAAGGAAATACATGGGGGCTTGCAGAGAAGTCCCCAGAAACTACCATAGCTTGCCCTACTCCCTGGGGCATGAGTCATGCCTAAAGAGCCTGACCGAGTCGCACGGGACAGGTGTTGTGTGTCTTCTCACCTGACAATCCAGGAGCATCTTCTGCACCGAGATAACACTTTCAGGTTTTTGTAAAGTTTTCAGTCTCTCTTCTTGTGCCTCCATCCAGTTGTTCAAAATCTGTATTTTGTTTTCATTCTCAGTGATACTTTCCAAAAGTTGTTCTAAATGTTGTATCTACAAGTTAGGAAATAAGAAAATAAAAATTTGTTTTAAACATGCGCTTTAAAATGTAAATGTCATGTCATGATATAATATTTTAAATAAGATAATTTTGTTTCTTCTCAGAAAATATTCTAATATTTTTCATAAGATTTCTCAATAACTTTTGGAATAAAGATTCATAAATCAGGAAATAGAATTAAATCTCTTTTTTAAAAAACCTAACATTTGAAATGAAAGCTAATCTGCTAAGAAAGGTGGCTGTTTTGGAATTCCATAATATCTGAACAAAATGAAATCATGTTGCTAATGCTATATATTTACATATACATACATATCTAGAGTATGTAAAGTTTTGTATTTAATTTCCAATGTCATGGGCATTTGCTGTATCATGACATATGCTGTATATTAACTTAAAAGGCTGCCCAATATTTCACGAAGTGACACGGTATATCTTGATTAATTATTCCTCTGTAGTTAAAAATTAAGGCATTCTACTTTCACTAGTATAAATAATTGTGAATTGAACATTGTGCACATATCTTTTTCTTTATAAAGGACTATTTACTGAAGATAAATGTGTAAGAGGTGCACTGCTAGGTTAAGAGATAAGAGATGATTATTATGATTCTTGAAATTTTTGGAATGCATTCCAAAAGAGTAATATTTAAGCCATTCTCTGCAGTGTATGAATGTGATAACTTTGGGCTTTTGTTTTTATCTTATTAAATTTTTCTAAGTTAATAAGTGTGTAATGTTACATTAATGTTTATTTTTAATATCCGATAACTGAAGTCGTAATCTTTCCATGTTTGTTAATAATTTTCTTTGTGAATTGTCTGTTTTTGTCCATTTATGTACTTGAATCATAATTGTATAAATCCAATTGTATGCACTCTCTACACAATAAATCAACCAATTGTCACTATCAATGATATATAAATATTAAATATTTTTCCATAAATAAATCACTTTAATCTTTTCAGAGTTATGGAAAACCTACCAAAAGGCCACATTTTTCTTCCTTTTATAATCTTTTCAAAGCTGCAATATCTTGCCCCTTTTGAACATTTACTTTCATAGAAAGTGTCAAAATCTGACCATTTATTAGCCTCACATAACATTTGATATCTTAAATAAAATTTCTCCTCTTCATTTGCCTAGCTCAATTTCCCACCAAGAAATCTAAAAATCTATAAAAGAAGCCTGTATAAGAAATCTAGAAAAGGAACATAAGAACTATTTTCATACTCTAATGGAGAATGCTTAAACACAAGATTTATAAAAGGGCTATAATTGAGATGATTACTAGGCTTAACTGTAAATTAACTATGTCTTTTAAGATTTTTCAGAAAGTGGTATTTTGCAAAGCCCAAGTCATACATCACATTGTGACACATAAGCACACCTTTCTATTCAGTGTTCCATGTACCCGGTGCCATTGGCGGTTCATCTCTCCCAGGTGCTCTGCAAACTCCGTCCTTTCATAGCGCTTACTTTCTACATCACAGGTGCTTAACTGAAGTAATGACTGGTTAACAAAGTCAACTATCCATTGTTTATAGTCCATTTCCATTCTAAGCTCCTAAAACAAAATAAAACAAAATTAAACAACCAAAGCCTGAATTGAAGTAGGATAACTGGAGGTCCCCTTTGGTGCACTCTAGGGGGCGCCAAGCTCCCATCCATTAATCAAGGTGCACCTGTCGGGAGGCACCTGTAAGGAGTTATGTTCTATCTTCTCTAACCCCACCAGATGCCTGCTTTATTTGAGTGAAGAGTATTTTTGGAAATTCCACATTCTTGGGAACACAAAGACTCACCACTTTCAAGGAGGCTAAAAAGTCAAAGGCAGCACCATGTATTGGTAGCTACATCATCTGAACCAATTCAGAACCCAGAGGCTGAAGAAGGGTTCCTAGGAGAGGCCACCTGAGAGCTACAATGGAATTGAGAGCCATCCTGGGGGCTAACAGAAATAATGGGATGAGAAGTCTGAAGTTAGGACTCCCAGAAAACCCAGGACACCTTTAAAGAACTTTACCAGTTTAGGCAGCTTCTCCATTCCTGTGGGGACAGTCTAGGCTACCCGGTTTAAGTTCTACAGCAATCCCATCCACAGCCGATCATACTTCTGTCAAACCTGTTACTTGCTGAGTTTACCCTGGCAAGCTCTAGCACGTCCTTCGGGGATATCCAAGGGGGAAAGCCATGAGGTATTTGCTAGGTTACTAGAACCTGCAAGAACACATACATGTGGACCCTATAAAGATGCCACTACTCACCAAAGTTAGGATGTGATAGAATATGAAAATAAAATCCTTGTTAACATCATGCTTTGTGATTAAGCTATTCATCTTCTGCCTACCACAGGCTCAATCTATCAGCCTGTGAGGCGTTTGAAAGCAATGACCAGGGTCTTCCTTCGTTCACCTCTGTGTCCCTAGGGGCTAACACAATGCCTGGAATGCAGTGAGTGTTTGTGTGCAGCTTGTTCAATATTGCTTAAATCTACTTGAAGTCCAATATCATGGAAAAGGCCACATTCTTATCTGTTCTTAGGATACCAACTGTATCAACTTTTCCTTATGCATTCTCTTATTCAAAGAACATTTACTTAACACCTATTGGCTGCCAGGTATTGGGCTAGGTGTGCTATTTCACGGAGGTGAAGGATAGCCCCTGCTCTCAAGAAACTAAGTCAAGGTGGGGAGAGAAGCAAGCAAGCAAATTATAATACCATGTGACAGGAACTACTGATAGCGCAACGGAGAAACCTAATTCCAGAAAGTAAATTGATCTGGCTGGGAGAGTCAGGGGTAGATTTCCATGTGAGAAGATACTTGAGCTGACTCTTGAAGGCTAAGAAGATTTCTATAGCTAAAAGTGGAGCACTGGAATGCTAGGCCAAAGGTACAGCATGTTCAAAAAGCACGAGGAGGGAGATCACCAGAAGCAGTCAAGGGACCGTAAATCATTTTGTCCAAGCAGAGTCCAGGGTTTGCAACAGGAGAACGAAAAGACGAGGCTGGTAGAGTGGGGCCAGAACCACTTATAAGCTTGGGTTTTGTCCTGTGGTGATGAGAGCTACTGCAGGAATTTAAGCAGAATAAGAGCGAGTATACTAACTTCTCTCTCGAGAATCATCCACCATCCCATTCCTCACACCTAGAATTAGTTTTTCTAAATTATATCCTATATGTCTCTTTGTTCAGTATTTCCTTTCTAATTGACTTGCCTACTTACTCAGTGAAAAAGCCTCTGGATCTTTTTGTATAATTACCTTGTATTTCTGAAGGAGATTTTTAACTTGAGATGCAGAACTCAGTGAAAGTTCAGAGTCTTCATTTGTGGTTTTATGTTCCACGTTGTTCATCCAGCTAATCATCTCTGTGATTGCTTTACGAGATGGCAATTTCTCCATCTGAAGCTGCAAGAACAAAATAATTTCCATTTAATTACCTTCAGTTAACAAAATGAATCAGGGCATCACTTAAGATGATATCTGATTTGATAGAAGGTCTTGCTACATAATTATGCAGGTTACTCACAAAAACAAATCCAGCATTCAAACTTAGAATAAGCGACCTCAAAACAATGACAATAACCTTCACATAAACTAATGCGGTAGTGCCGATAAATTGGGAAATAAAGTAATTAAGCCTGATTTCTCTCTCAAGAAAGATCCCATTGGAGGAGAGTCCAGTAATTAAGACCTATATTCAGTGGTGCCAGAGAAAAAATAGGTAGTGTCAATGAAAATTATTGAGTCAAAGAAATAATTTAAAAATAGTTGTGAGCTAACAAGTGAATGCTAATTCAAATGCTGGGTCTTGAAGTGCTTATCGTACCTGGTGAAGTTTCTCTTGAATATCTGGAAGTTGAGTTATAAGTATTGTCCACTGCTGTTCAAACTGTGCTAAAGAAGCTCTCAGTGTAGCTGTATCAGCTTCTTTCAGGTGAAGAAGTTGGTTCCCAGTACTTAGGACCGCAGTCTTCAAGGAGGATTTTTCATCAAGTTCCTTTGAAAACTCCTACAGGAAATAGTTTTAAAATTTAGAACCTTTTAACATTTGAATATAGCACAGGAACTAAGAGTCAGAATTACTGGTTAAGAATCCAAACAAAAAAACTTAATTCAAATAGCAAATATTCGAATGTGAATGTGTAGTGTACACATGCACACACACACACACACGCACACACACTTTCCTAAGTGTGAGGCACTGTTCCAGGCCTTAGATATATGGTGGGGAATGAAAGAGGTGGGATTCCTGTCCCCTGAGTGGCTTATCATCTAGTGGATTAATATTTTGAAAAGAGACAAATCAAGATTTCAATTTTTAAAAATTATGAAACACAACATGAAGTTCACATTAAATGAACTAAATGGGACATATTTTAACTAAAATATTTCAAATCTTTCCTGTGTACTTACGGGTTTTCTAAAGCATATTTTAAAATATCTACATTTTAATACCAAAGTGAGTAATCACAGCACAATATATAAAAAATGGTAAGAGAAAAGACTAAGGGAAAAGACTAAAGGGTTTCAAAAGTATCATTTATATTGCAAAAGTTATACTTTCCTTGCAGAAAAAATTCTCAAAACAGTTTAAAACCATGTAACTTTAATATTTATGAATTAATAGTCCTATGAGGTTTTTGTTGGGGCAGGGGACTTATTTTCTGCATTTGTAAAAACATGCCTGCTGTCAGAGAAAGTTTTAAATTTATATACATTTCATAGGGTCAATTAAAAATATACTTTATCATTATTATAACTGTATAAATGGACAGTATAAAGAAATGGTTTGGAGAATGCAGCTCTCTTAGTCCAAGTCTTATTCCTTATCCATAAATGACCAGAGAGACTATCATGTCATTTTCCTGATCATTTTCCCGATATTTATTTCTGATGATTACGAGCATATTCTATTATGACTTACAAAAAAATTGTCTATGTTGCTTCTGATTGTATCCAAGTCCTGAGACACATTGAGGGACTGTTCTTTCCAGTAGTTCAGAGTTTGCTGGGAAGATTCCAACCACTTGGTTAACTGATCCGAATCTCTGTTATAACTAATAGGAGCAAAGTGCGGGAGAAAGGAAGTTAGAAATGTGCTCGATTGGTGGTATGCATCACCAGCAGATTTTCTTATTTCACTGTGTTTTCCTGTGTTGATCAGCCCTATTATTCAGAAAATCATGGTGTTTTTAAGGATTGCACCCTGTTTTATCCCCATGTACTAGATACGATTCTCCTGCCATTGTCTATGACTCTTATGACTAATCAAGAACAAAGTGACATTTTAAAGTCTAAAATATCCTTTGAAATTTTTTTTTTATCAAAGCTATAAATAAGTAAACCTACGAGCAAGGAGAGAGACTACTTTTATCCATCAAACGTCTTCTTATAGATTTGTTCACAATAAAAATATAATCAGCTCAAAGTGCTGTTGGTTAGATGCCAACATATTTACTTGACATGATGAAAATATCCAAATAAAATACTGTCCCTCTTTTAAATTTTAAACTTCTCTGGATTAAGACAGCTCCCTAAGAGACAGGGGTGACAACGAGGTTTAAATGTTCTATGTTTTTATTCTGTACCTTCCTTGAGGGGTTCAAAATTAGATCAACTAAGCAAAAAAAAAAAAAAAAAAATCTCTGAAGAACTCCAAAGACTTTTTCAAACTATTCTATTAGCTGAAAATATTAAATATTTTTAAATTTTAAAACTTTTTGAAGGAGGTAAGAGAGCAACATCATGGCATAAAGGTAACATGCATAATTTTATAAAATAATTCCCAGTTTCCACAGAACTGATTATATATTATCCTGAGTCTTAGCAAACCAGCATCAGAGACTCTAGATTCTACTCAGCCAAGAAGAGGGACTCAACTGCCTCAGATTGTCAAAGAAAATCCACACAGTAAGAGGACCGCATGTAAAACCTGGTTGACTGTAGAATCTCTCTGAGGTCTTTCTCCACAGCAAAATTTGACGCCAATCAGTCCCTAAGAAAACATACCTGAGCAGATGCCTGAGAAGCGTTTGTAGTCTGTGTAGTTCATGGTCAATTTTTTTGTTTAGGGACAACCACTGCTCTTCTAGTTTTGCAATCTGGCCCTCTAGTTCAGGACAGTTCACGGATCCCACCAGCTGTTTGCCTTCATTCAGAGTCTGGTAAAGCCGGGCATGCTTCTCATCAATGTTTCTTTTTATTTGCTAATAGGAGTCATAGAATGAATTATTTAAAAATGAAACTGGCCAGTCTATTCACAAATTCTTCATTAAAAATCTACCGTAAAGGCTACTGAATAAACATTACCACTTTCCTAACCCTCAAGACTCTTGCAGTCTGGCTGGACAAACATGGTTAATGGCTTGCCTATCACCTTTCACAATGAGGGCTCCAACTACTGTATTTCTACGGCTCAGGTTCAGCTCTACGGACTTACACATGCAAAAAGAAAACAATTCACAGATTTAGATCTGAGAGTTCATTCCTCCACCTAAAAGCAAAAAAAAAGCTGGCAATCTACAGGGCGCAGTCAGCTTGCAGACAGGTTTTCTGTGACCTGAAGATTATTTTGAAAGACAGGAAATTTTACATAGAGATCAGGATTTCCCATGACTCTGGGAAAACTGGATCTAGCCATCTGGGTCTGCATTCTCAGGGGGCAAAAATGGGCTGGAACTGAGCAGCTCTCTCTGGTTCCCCTCCACCACAGTCTCCACCACCCCTCTTCTCACTGTAGACCTGGTCAGTGTCCCTTTTTCTGTTCTCCTGCCTGGCCCCTGTGAGCATTCTATATTGCAACTTAGGTATGAAAGAGGTAAATAAGAAAGCATTTATTATCCTTTAGACCCAAACGGTAGGCAAAATTTCATTTGGAGAGTCCTCTAAATGTAAGAATTCAGTACGGAGAAAAGAAGAGGAGTTCAGGAGAATAAATTAAAGCAGAGAGCACATCATTAACAAAACTTCATGAAAAGAATAAAATTCTTCAAAATTGAATACAATGACCCCCTGAAGAGAACTCTGTCTAAAGGCAATTATCTTCCATGATTGGGTTCAGCCAATGCCACTTATCCTGACAGTTATTTAATCTTTAAAAATAAATTATGATCAAAATAGAACTTTTGCTGTTTTCCAGTTAACCTAAGCCTTTTAAAAAATTACCAGCTTCCTGACCCCAGAGAATTGAGATTTACCTTAGAGCAGGGGTCCCCAAGCCCTGGGCCTCAGACCAATACTGAGTCCGTGGCCTATTAGGAAGTGGGCCACACAGCAGGAGGTGAGCAGAGAGAGAGAGAGAATGAAGCTTCATCTATATTTGCAGACGCTCCCTAGTGCTAGCATCACCACCTCAGCTCCACCTCAGATCATCAGGCATTAGATTCTCATAAGAACACTAGTCCCTGGTGCCAAAAAGGTTAGGGACCGCTGCCTTAGAGTCAGGCTCAATAAAAGAAGATGGCAAAGAGATCACTGTAGCTTTCTAGGCATTTAGAGAACGTAACTACAATGTTCCAAGGTCCTCTGGAAAATGTTCCTTATAGGAGCTTAAATGTCTCCAAGGAATGGCAGAGCCTTGCCAAGAATTTCATGCTTTCATTTTCCATCTAGTCTATTCGGGCAATGAATTTCCTTTTGAAGTTTTAAAGTTGATAGTTGATAGCAACCTCTAGCCACATAATTCAGCTTCTCATTATATATATTCTAAAGTCAAAACTAAGTATTTTTGGTTTCTGTTGAGAAACTCATTTTTATCTTGGTCATGTTCTCAATGCCACTGGAAAGTCGTTTAAAGGTTTTATCTTTTCTGTGGCACTGAAATCTGAGACATGGAGACTTCGATAATAATACTATAAGTTCCATAATTTTTAAAGTCTTATGATACTTGTAACAGGTAATTATCGTCTATCTCATATGGGCTATGTCCAGCTAGAGCTTCACTATAGTAATAAAACTAAATATATGTTTAGAGGCCCATGGTTTGCAAAGTTCTTTCTATACTTTAGCTTATTCTCATAACCACTGATATCTATTTCCTGAGACAGGCAGAACTAGCTTAATTATCTGTATTCTACAGATAAAGAAACTGAGGCTTAAAGACAAGGAAGGTGACAGAGCGAAAGTGAGAGCTAGGACACAAACCAAGGCCCTTGACTCCAAGGCAGATATGTGGTTATGCTGAGGAGCTCATGATCAGACTTGTAGTCTCCCCAAATATGTTCACGTCAGTAGTGTGATAAACAATATTTCATTTTAATTCAAATCATTCCTCTTCAAAGTCAATCAGTATAGTCACGACAAAATAAAAAACACGAAGTGCTAGAGAGCATGTCTTTGACAGCTTAAATGGAAGCAAAGTACCTGGTAAAATGAAATTCTTTCCACTAATCTTTCTTCCGTCTCCTCCACCAAACTCACAGAGGGCAATGTAGATATAAGAATCTCCAGGTCCTTCTCAAGAGATGCATAGTTTTCATCAAATTCTTCCCATTTCTAGAGAATCAAGAACATAAAATCCAGTAGGAGCCCTTTTCTAGATTAATTTTGTCATTGTCTGGAACTAACCATAAAAATAAAAATGAACTCTGAGACTGTACAAAATTAAAGCACAGAATCCTGGGGCTTCTGAGAGATCTAATCCACTCTAGTATGAGCTCAGTGTCTAACGGAAAATAAGTACTGCCTTTGCAGAGAAGGTTTTTAAAAATCCAGTTGGCATTAGTGTTTTATGCTTGTCTCATCAAAATGAGGAGGGACTAATATGATTAAGTTAAGCTATGTTCTAGCATATACCTCTGTGGAGGCCTCAGGGCCATAAAACAGTCTCTTTTTTATTTGGAAAGGCTAAGTGTTCATTTTTAAAGTCTTTCTCAACAGATATCCATCCTGTTAGGCTGCTTCTGCAACTCCATGCTCCAATCCCTGTCCACCGAACACTACCCTACCACGCTGCTTAGAGGATAATTCCACTGTTTGAGGTGACTGGCTTACCCCTTTATCGGGGGAGTACTATTGCTTTCCCCTGAATCTTGCCTCATCCTAGCTCTGTTTCCATAGAAGCCCACCTCTAGGGTCTCGGCATACTACAGGGCAGACTTATGGACACTAAATATTATCTCTTGGAAAAAGAACCACTGTGCTAATTCTCGTATCTGTTAAAATAGAGGGTCATGTGGCTATTCGGGGCACCCACTGGGATTATGAAGTCTTTGAATACAATGAAATATCAATGTCGATTCGACACGCTAACTAGAAAATTTTATTAGCATGAAATAAAACCATATCATATCACATTATTAAGTTGAATATTTCTTTGCTTTTTGTTTATTTCCTTTATGTGCTAACATCTACTGTGTTTAAAAAGTTAAAGGGGAAAACTTTAAAATTGAGAAAGCTTTATGCAAGCTTTTTTTCTTTGAATTGGGACAAGACTGTCACCAATCCACTTCAGCAACAGAAAGAACATCTGAGCCTGTCCTCTTCGGAGAGTACAGTTCCTGAACCACTGACTGTTTCATACAAATGATCTCACGCAAGGTCTCAACATGTTTTCAATTTTATTTGTACCACACAAACCTGAAAGGTAGAAAGATGCTGTACCATCCCTAATTTACATATAAGAAATCTCAGCTAATATTTCATTCAGGAGTAGTAGTCAGAAGTAGAATAGGGTTTCACAATCCTCATTGTTCGTTCCCATTTAATTACTGCTTAATCATAACTAGATACTTGTTTTTGACATCTTAAAGTGATGGTTGAATATCTGGAATGCCCAGCTTAAGTACAAAGCTTATCTAATGCAAATACCTGCAACAAACTCTGTAGCTTTATTCCGCATTGGTGTGACTTTTCTTCTAGTAATTTAACTTCTTTTGCTTGTTCTGCCCAAAATGACTCTTTCTTTTGTAACAAAGAAGGAAGCATTTTGTTGGAGAATGTCTGGATCAATAGCATGTCAGCAACAAGCTTCTGGAAAAAAAGCTGTAAAATGGAGGTTTTAATATTTATTTCTACTTCATGAAAATTTTAAAAGAGCAAGCTACTTCGACATTTTATACTGTTATTTTGTTATTTTTTTTTTAATCCAAAATCCCAGGACAGTCATGTAGAGTCAAACAGAAAACAAAATCGACTATGCATACCTTAGTCTTTGATGGAATTTTAACAAATCATGAAGAAAGACTATCCTAAAATATTTTCCATAAAACAGTTCATCTTAAAAGGGCAAATATTATTAGTCAATTTCAATTTCATATCTTCTTAAATCAGTTATTCTGAGGTTTAAGAAACACTACAAAAAAGATACTGACATAGCTGATTCATTTCAAGACAATGATGGAAAGATGGGTTAGCCCAAGGAGCCCATATATTCAACAGCCGGGGGTTCCTCAACTCTGACTCAACTTCTATTCCATAAGATAGCTAACTAAAGGGAATTTGTTGACAGGGTCTGTTGGGATCCTGGTACCTAAAAGCTCCCAGAATGGCACTTTAAGAACTTTTAAAGGGAAAGGTTTTCCTTCATTTGGTTCTTCTCCATTTGTAGCAGCTGTCCTCTCTAACCGTTTGGAGGAAACTTGTGTGAATCCCTTCTGTTCCTTGATGAGGATACACAGAAGGGTGGGCCAACACACTGTAGATATCTACTGATATTTTCTCCTCTTCCCCTCCATTCTTTATATGTATTTACCTTTGAAATTCTGACTCAGGTCTACTTATTAAAGGCTTTGAAGGTAGGAACTTTGTCTTACACATTTTTTATTATTAGCACTTAAGTTACTACATATCTTTAGTCGATGATCATGAATTTTTTTAATGAAATGAATGGAAAACTAAAGGGTTTACTGTAGCATTACACTACGTACACATTTTTAATATATTTAAACAGATATTTCTTTTGATCTCAGTTTTCAGGAAAGGCTTACCTAAGTTGCCAAATACAATTTTCCCTATTGAATGCTCTCAAAGCATGAATTCCAAATTTTAAATTTGTCTGAATGACTCCTCGGTGAATATGTCTTCTCAATCAACTGAAAACTTCATGAAGTAAGGAAATGTATCTGCTTTCATTCATAACCATATTCTTAGAATTCAACAGGGTTCCTGGCATAGTGAGCGCTCTAACAGATATTTGTTAAAAGAATGAATGAATAATGTATATTCCACCAACGAAGAAAATGGACGCTCTCTGTTCACACTCAAGAAAAACAATCTGTGAAAAGGTGATCTGACCTGTGTGTCTTACCTTGTGATTTTGTATTTGTGCCTGTAAGGCCACTTTACTTTTGGTTTGTTGTAAGTGGTCACGAGTAAGCTTTTCCTTGCCAATCTTCACTAGTTCCACCATGCCTTGCAACAAAGCATCTTGCTGGCTCTCAGTGATGGAAGGGCTGCAGAGTTCTGAGTACCTGGTTCTCAGGATACCCCACATACTGTCCAGTACATCCTAAAAAGAAGGAACAGGTGTACACAAACATTTTCATCCAACCATGAAAATAATCCAAATGAAGAACAAATTTAAACTCCCTTGGTAGAATAAAAAAAAAGTCTTACTCTTTACAATCATGACAATTCACTATGATTGAATGTTTTCTGCTCAGACGTACCTCTAATTTGTAAACCTCTTGGAGTAAAGCATAAGGTAAATGAAGCCTCTCCCCTTCGGCTCTTAGTTTTGCCACTTGACCCTCAGAGTTCTGCAGTTCTACTGTATGTGCGTCTGCTTTCTAAAGAGACAATGCAAAAAAGCAAAACCCTTAATAAATTAGAGAAGTGTATGTACACATTTTTAAAAAATTAAGCAGAAAAGAATTATGGGAAAAACAAAAGTCCCTCCTCCCCTGCCTCACCTTCAGCTCACTCCAAAGATCCGCACTTGACAGTCCGTTACCAGTGCATTCTAAGCATGTACCAGTAGAGGTACACATGCACATCCTCAAACTCACCAAACTGCACACATTCTGTTCTGCAGTTTGCGCTTTTCACTTATCTGATCCTCAGTATCTCTTCAAATCAGTACAAACGTCTGGCTTCTTTTAAACACACACATGGTATGTCATTGTAAGGCTGCACACTGCTTTAGTAATATTCTACTCTTAATGGACTTTTGGGCTATTTAGAGTTTTTAATTTAAGCAGTACTGCCAGATCCATCCTTGAATATTTATAAACATATTTATCTTTATGTACTTATCTTATTTCCTTTGGATAAGTGCAACCCAGTACCTAGAGCAGTGCCTGAACATAGTAGGTCCTCAATTAATACTTGCTGAATAAATAAATGAAGCAAAATTGCTGCTGGATTGAAGAGTGTTTAAAATTCTGATCCATATCATATATTTATATATATCTATACATATATATATACACACACATATACACACACATATATATATAAATAAAAAGAATTCTGACATAGTCTAGCCAATGATCCCTAGAAGCTGAGACTAATCAGCTCTCTTATCATTTCCCAATGTCCTTACCAACACTGCACAAACTTAAAATTTTGCCCAGTTGAGAAGTGACAGTGGTCTTTTGTTGCTTTTACATTTCATAAAGTACTACTTAAGAGATATTTTTAAAGATCAACGTATTTTCCTTTTTTATAAATGTACGTAAGTAAGCCTTGGCACTGCTGACAAAAGGAAGTGGTTCAGAAGCAGAGCTTACACACAAGACTCTGGTCCCAGGTTAGGTCAGTTTGAGTTACTTTGACTTGATTACCTGAAGCTGTTCTTCAATACTCTGGCCACTAATTTCATTCAAAGACTGCTGTAAAGATGTTTTATTCTTAATAAGTTGATCATATAGTCGCTTTATTTCATTCTGTAAAAAAGATAAGTGCAGGAAGCAGTGAGAGTTTCATTTAGGCCTTGAACACCTTTTTAAAAAAACTTAGTTGTCTTTTAATTTTTGTTTTCAGAAATTTCAAACATATACCAAAATAGAGAAATCTCTGCATTACCATGATGCAGCTTTGATAATTACTGACTTTTGGCTGGTTGTCTCTCTACGTATTCTCTTCCTGAGCTTTCCCGACTGTACCTAACCTACCTTCCTTCAGATTGTTTGAAGCAAATCTCAGATATTATTTCATCAGCATATGTTTCAGTATGTATCTCTAAAAGATAAAGATTCCTCCCTTTAAAAATACTACGAATCAAAAATAACTCCTTAGTATTAATGGTCCAGACGGGGGTCACATTTCTCTAACTGTCTATAATCGTTCTTTTAGGTTTGAATTGGAATCTAAATGAGGTCCAATCGCTTGCAATGGGTTAACAGGTGTCTTAAATCTCTTATAAATCTGCAGGTTCCCCACTCATCCCTCATTTTTGTGTCTTGGAATTTTTTGGAAGGGGTTGGGGAATTGGGTCACTTATTCCGCATAGCTTCCCACTGTCCAGATTTGGCTGACTGCACCCACTGTGCCACTTAACATATTTTTCTGTCCTTGTGTCTATTTTACTTAAACTCTAGAGACTTTATTAGATTCAGGTTTGATTTTATGGGCAAGACTCTTTCATGAGTGGTGTTGTGTTTCATTCTTTTGTTATTAGAGCATTTGAGTAGCTTCCTAACCGGTCTACTTGGCCCAAGTCTCTCCTCCAATCTAGACAACTGCCAGATGAATCCACCTGAAACATACATGAACTGTCATTCCTTTGCTCAAAAATTGTAATGGTTCCCTCTTATCTAGAAATCTGCCCATACAACACTCATGAAGTGGCTGAATGTAATATAAGAATGAAACATTACTTTAGTTCAATGTAAGTTCACACCCAATACTTTGGAAAGAGGCTCGCTTTCAAATGGTCTCCAACCACAGCAGCAGAACTAAGTTTCATAGAAAGAATGTCTCACCGCTTTCCTTAGAGATTCCCATTCACATACGCTGCCAGGAATAGGAATTAATGGAAATTAGGAGGAGTCCGAGCTATAACGTCAAACAGTGCCAAAGCATGGCGAGCACCCAAACCTGTACCTGGTAACTGCGGTTGTAGTCAAGGCCAGCTTTCAGAGACTTGCTTCTAGACGCAGCTGTAGCCTGTGTGTGCTCCAGGTAAACTTGGAGGTTATCAAAACATTCAGGGAACAAATTGGTGTTCTTGCCAGGCCAAGTCATGGCTTTCAAAAGATTATCCTTCTTGTCACTCATAGCTAAGGAAAGTTTTTTCAGCTCAAGAGCCAGTGTCTGCAAAATGGAGAGGCAGGAAGACACAGTGAATGCGCTCTGAGCTTAAGAGGCTTCAGCTCTGGCTTAAATAGTGGGCTGTCTGCAGTAATGGTCAACACCTGGGCTTGCTGGAAATTCCCTACCTCGTAGTGCATCTGTTGGGCACAAATATCCCCTCTGAAGAGGCCGGGTGTCTGCAGCATCTCCTCCACACTGCCAAGGCAGTGACTGAGGGTTAGAAATAGTTCAAATAATTTTTTATCCAAATTTATGTATGTGTCTTCTGTCACATTTTCCTGAATCAAGAGGAAAAAAGAAATAAAAATCATTAGGATTCCTCGACTTTCTAAGCCTACACTTACTATGGTTTCTGTTAGAGCTTACGATTTGTTATACTTTTTAAAAATTAGTCATTTCAAACACTTTGTGAACTAGGTAGCCAAATAAATAAAATTAAGATGTTAATTCTGAGGGAAACAAGTTTAAGAAACTCAATGTTAGGTAGAGAGTTGACTACTGAATGGAATTAAAAGGTAAATCGCAAGATGAAGGACTTCCTTAGTGGGGCCACCCAGGTGGACGTGTGGACCCACATGAACTCTACTATCCCTCTTGTCACTGCTCCCTGCCTCCCACATTTTAATGTAGGAGAATGTGAGTTAAAGAATCCAAGGTATGGCCTGGAGAAGGAAAAGAAGTTATAAAACGTGAAGGGGTTGATTAGTAAGAGGTATATCTTAAAGATAGGAGTGGTACGGCATGGCGACTACACTTAAAAATACTATATCACATGTCTGAAAGTTGCTGATTGAGTAGATCTGAAAAGTTCTCATCACAAGAAAAAAAACTTGTGACTGAGTGGTGATGGATGATAGTATTGTGTCAGCATTTCATAATATATACAAATATTCAATCATGTTGTACACCTGAAACTAACATGTCAATTATATCTCAATTTTTTGAGATAGGGATGGGCTGTGGAGAGGAGAGAGTTGGGGTGTCATTAATGGGCTGACTGTAAGAACTGAGGCCACCCTTAGATGTGGAACTCCAAGGGGGGCCCTAGGGTTGTGTAATTGTGCCCTGGTGAGTTTCAGAGCTACAGGTCTATTTTAGCATAAACTGTTGGAATCATCTCTTTTTCTTTACCCAAGGTCACCTCAAATTTTTGACTGATTCAGGAGCATGTCAAAGCTAGTAATCGTACCAATTTGGGCTTTGCTTCCTACCGTCTTCTCTGAAGGGTACCTAACGTTACCCAGCACACCATCTCAGTGTTAAGTCTACTCCAGGTTGGAAACCTTGCTCCCTCCTTCCATCCTCACCCTTCCAATCTCAGAGCACCACTGCAGACAGTACTAATCAATCACAATCCTGGTTCCTGCTAATGGTGGACTCAGGTTCAGAAGCCTCTGCACTTGGTGCTCTAGGCAGCCAATGCCGTATTTATTAGAGTTGGCGAGAGAGATAAATTCTATTTGCAATTCTAGGACCCACTGCATCATGTGTTCTATTATTTGTAAAGAAAATTATGACCAATTTACAATATCACATCTCCCTTCTTTATGGCAATGAGGAAAACATATAACATGTAACTGCTACCTGTGTCTGAAGATTATTTGCTTCTTGACGCAGGTCTTCAAGTTGGGCAGTATATGTTTTCAGTTCTTCAGTTGTGGGGTATCTAAAGTTATACACGCTCACACTAGGCAGAATACTCACATCTGTGGCAACCTATTTGAAAAAGGAAAACCCTATTACAGACAGTTTGAGATCCTGCTGATGTTCACATAAAATAGTAAAAATGCCTTAGCACGTCGTATCTTCCAAGTTACCTTCTTGGTTTATAAGAAAAAATAGGGAAAATAATAAAGTAATAAAAAATAACAGAAGTCTTTACTTAGAAACCTGAGGGTCCATTTAGATATCAAAACAAGGGAAAACAAACCATAATTTCAAAAATAAAGTAAAATTATTCATCTTTCAATTTAGTAGCAATGCTATCCATGTTGCAAGGTTAGCTGTTTCCCTTCCCATTTACTAGTAGACTCTTGGTATTTAGCCAAGTCTTAAAATAAAATATAGTCACCTAGGGGACAGATTTGCATCTTGATTTGCTATTGAAAAGCAATATAAGCATTGAAAATGAGCTGTGACTTCAGAAGGGAGAATGATTCAGAGTTAATTTCTTTCTAAAACTGGAAAATTAACATATAAAAAGGAAAAGGGTAGCGTGGTGGGTGACACTGCTTGGGCAAAGGAACGACTGAAGGCATTCTACTCCTGGCAAGAGGAAGACACATGTTCTAGTATGGATGCCAAGGAGAAGCCAAGAGTAAGGCTAAGGCCCTACCAATGTGTAGGTATTTAACTGGTCAAATAAGGTTCTCTGCAGAGTAGAACAGAAAAATTCCCACCAGACTGGGGAACTGGGAAATTGTTGGTAACCTTTGCCTGGGCAGTTCACTGAAGGCATTCTACTCCTGGCAAGAGGAAGACACATGTTCTAGTATGGATGCCAAGGAGAAGCCAAGAGTAAGGCTAAGGCCCTACCAATGTGTAGGTATTTAACTGGTCAAATAAGGTTCTCTGCAGAGTAGAACAGAAAAATTCCCACCAGACTGGGGAACTGGGAAATTGTTGGTAACCTTTGCCTGGTGAAGTGCAAAGGTGAAGGCAGCAGCTTGACTGCTGTGAGCAACAGTGCTATCCTGCTCATGCACTCCCTGTTTATAGAGAAATCCAGCAGCAGATGGCACAGTATGAATAAAACCAGTAATGGCCATGATAAGGTGTGTTGGTGGACAAGTACCATCGGCACAGGGCCGGCAAACTGTGGATTCCAAGTAATCTTTTGATGAATGAATGACATTCCTATAGCACTGCATCATTGTTAAGTGTTTTCTACATCTGTTTTTCCTTTATTCATTCAATAAAGAGTAATTGAGATTTTATGATGGTCCAGGTGCTGTGCCAGGCACTCAAATGTAAACCAGGCAGGCACAGTCTTTCTTCTCCTACCATCTGATGGGGAACATGGATAAATAAACAGGCACATAGTATAGGAAGAGCTATGATCAGCATCAGGGAAGCCCAGGGTGCTCTAGAAGCATAAAGGAGGGGTACTTCACACAGATTCCCAGAGGTGTGTAAAAGGGTGGGCCAAGTGAAAAAACCCACTTGGCATCTTTGCTCTCTAAATAATAAATTGCTATGTAATGCAGAACATACATGTGTATTTAATGAATGCCTGTTAGACTTTCAAAGATAAACATGCTTATTTACACTGTGTACAAACACACACTGACCTGAGGCTCCACAAGCTGAGGAAGAGGCAGCTTTATTTTTGACGAGAGTTCATGATCTAAATATTGCCATTTATCTCCGCTTTGGCTCTGAGTTGATAAGACTGATTCTGGGGCATCATTTTCAAGGCTAGATGCCTCACTGCTTTTGAGCAAAAAAAAAAAAAATAAAAAAAGGTAAAAAGAATAATCAACATACAAAAAATTTATTACCTTCAGACAATGTTTTATAAGTGAAAAACACTCTTAGTTCTCTCGACCATCAAACTACTGAATGTCCAAATCTTTAAAAATGTTTTACCTCACAGATGATATCTGAGTTGTATCTTTATCATGCTGGCAATACTCGGGCCACATTTTCTTAGCATTAAATTCTATGAATTTGATTAAATCTTTCTGTTCCATTGGTTTCAACTCTAGAACCTAGAATTGAATAAGATTGAAATGGTCCAATCAATCAAAGTTTTCAATTAATACCCAAGGGTTTCTTTTACTGAGATAACTGGATTTTGAACCATTTCCTAAATCATAATTTACCATTTCTCTTTTTTGCTTGCTTGTTCTCATTAACTTTTATTTCTCAAAAACCTATTTAAAACATTCACACATTGACCAAATGTAGTTTAATACGTATTACACACGTGGGAAATCACCAAAAATATAGTAACATATTTTGAAACAACAGGGAAAGA